TGTGCCCTTCAGCTACAAATCCACAGATGCCATGGATCACCAGAATGAAGCTCGTGGAGTACTGGCGGTCCACTGAGCACAGTTTGTGAACCACTGCTTTAGGATACATACACAGAGATGCCACCTATTCCACTGGATGCGTACAGTATATGAATCTACTGATTTTGATTCCATGATCCTGGTCTCCAAGGAAGTGAAGAAAAGAAAAGTAAAGTGATGATCTAAGTTCTTGATCATCATTCTGATTGCATTAGAAAGCCAGATGGCAAGAGAATTTTCAAACAATAGACTCGATTAGAGAGGCAGGCATTATGCACACTGAGATTGTGACAATGGAGAAGCTGAATTAAATGGAAGACAAAGATGATTTGGGATGGTGGAAAAGCTGGAACATGCAAACATCTTGGGCAAGGTTGGAGATTTCCATCCAGTTTAAATACAATGAATTCCGCTTGGCTGCATCCTGAACACTACATGAACCACGTGGTCTGGAAGGAAAGGTCTGATGCCCTGACTGTTCAGTGTGACAGAAAGAATATCATTATGTATTGACCCACACTTAAAGTCAATTGTCCAGGTGACCATTAAATGCACATGATATTCTATGCAAAATTAAACAACGTAATGGACTAAGCAATGAGTTAATTGTTACTTTCCCTCACCTTTCCATATGAAACAAACTAATATTTGTGGGAATAGAGGGCTGTATCTAACATTCCTGAAACACCTTCCCTTGTGCAATGTCTGCACCACCCAAAGAGATTCTGAGGATTCCTCTAACCTTCTGGAGAAGATTTTTCGAAGTGGGTGGATGGGGACAGGAGACAAAGAGGAAGTTCAGTTGTGTAAGTGGATGTCCTTTGCAAACGGAATGACTTCATTTGATACAACCCATTTTTCTCTCTCTCTTCAATATACTGTAAATTAAAGTTTGTAGAATCTATGGATCCAAATATATTATATCTGGCTCCATAGCTACATGGAGCAGGGTAGTTGTCATCAGCCCCTGCAGCCTCTGTGATAGCTCCCACATTATTCCCACTAATGCCTAAAGTCCTGCTCAGAAAATCATCTCCATGCAGTAATTGAATAAACTGGGCAGGGGGAGGAGGGGTCTGTGTACACTGCCCCTGTCCCCAAGTATGAACCACAAGCTATTCCTACACATGTATGGGTGATTGTGTGACGGAGTTGATTTGTACACCTCACCTGTTATGTACACAGGTACACAGACTGTACACTTGTTGCATATAGGTGAATAACCGTACAAGTGTGCGGCCCAATTTTTGCTTTCAAAGGGACAAAGATGGTGTGCTCATTGAACGCTACATATGTCTAGAGTCTAAAATAAGCAGATAGTATGAAACCAATCACCGTTTCGACATCCCAAAAGTTCTCACTGGCTTACTAAAAGCTGTCAAAGTGTAGCCCTGTTCTGGCTGAATGTTTTCCCCTTTGGCTTCAAGGATGATTGAATTTATATTAAGTATTTCAGATCCTGGTTTGACTGTTGCGCATTTAAGGGATGATTGTATTTTAGATTAATTGCTCATATTTGACTTGATTGCTTTGCACATTAAATGTAATATTCCCAGTTACATGTATGTTACCAGCAGCATTTTAATGATTCTAGCTGCAACAGCGAGATTTTTCTGTTCAGGTTTATGAAGTTCTTTATTTAAGGGGTGGGGGTGGGAGGAAGATTTTCAGAGTTGCTCCTTTAACGCACGCCTGTGACTTTCAGCCACAGTTTGCTCCCTGGTGATGTGTCAGCGAAGGGTGATCTGATATGTGAGATTGCTATGCTCGGGTTCCACATGCCACAATGAGTCACTTTACAGATGTCAGGCAGACCTCAGCAGGAGGCTTGACTCATCACCAGCCACCTCAGCCCTCCACTTAAAGGAGCAGCTCCATCTAACTGTAAATCCCAGATTCATTGCAGTAGGACTGCAGCTTCCATAACCCCTGACCATTGGCTGTGCTTGCTGGTGAGGATTGTCAATCAGCAGTATCTGGAGGACCAAAACATTCCCCACTTAAATCAGAAGCAAAAGAAAAAAGCTGAAGTGTAGACTTCTTGCCGCATGCTGTGGAGGTGGAAGGAGACACTTTGGATGGATGGATGGATGGATGGATGGATGGATGGATGTGCAGCTGTGCAACATCATTTCCTTGGCTATTCCAGGAAGAATGAGCAGGTCAGACAGATGGCAGTTAGGTGCCCTCTGTAGGCAGTGCCTGCAAAACTTCCTTATTTTGGAAGAAGTGAGAAAAGATAAAGCCCACCCAGTTTATAACATCAAAGCACTCACTCCCTGAGAACTTATGGAAATTTCTCCTGCCCACTTTTAAGCAAATAATAATAATAATAATAATAATAATAATAATAATAATAATTTTTATTTATACCCCACCCTCCCCTGCCAAAACCGGGCTCAGAGCGGCTAACATCAAATGTATAACACATTAGCATAAAATCAGGCAATCAATTAAAATACATCCTAAAATCAAATCAAGATCAGAATAAAATCCAATCAGACAGCAACCTGCAGATTAGGGTTGGGGACCTTAAATGCTCACCAGGCCCAACTGTTTGGGCTGAACTTATATGGGCCTGTGAGAAAAATTGCAAGGCCACTTTCATGTAAGTTCTTAGGAAGGGGAGTCAGACTGAACCCCAACCAAAGGCCTGGAAGAGGGAGCTGTTCCGCCTGGCCTTCAGTCTGGGCCCAGTTTGACCCCCCTCTATGGGACCCTGTAAGTTACCTCTCTGGCCCTTTTATCGGCTCATGTGGGACCAACATGGATAGCTGGCCTTGATGAATACTTGAGGTTCCCGACCCCTATGGTTGTAATTCGTGGGCAATCATTTAATCAATTGTTTGATTGTGTTTTAATGTATTTTATATTTGATGTTAGCTGCCCTGAGCCCAGTCTTGGCCGGGGAGGGTATGGTATAAACAAAAATTTACTTACTTACTTACTTACTTACTTACTTACTTCAACATTTTCACTCCAACTCATTTTCTCCCTATTTAAGCAAAGAGAAGATTCCCCCTTAACAAACATCCTGGAAATGGACTTCATGATGCATGTTCTAAATCTCAGTTCATTCACCTAAGCTTTATCCTTCAAAGTTGTCCATGATGGTTATTGTGTCTCTCTAGATGGACCAGATGGGTCTCTGACTTGATCTAGCAGGGCTCTCGTAACGTTCTTAAGTCTCCACCTGACTCAGCAGCCCATAGATTTGTTTATAAGTTCTCTTCATTGTTTCCAGGATGATGTACAGGATGCATCTACTGAGGCGCTCTTCAACCAATTTGCATAATTTCATTAAATGCAGTGATAATTACGTGAGGCACTCAAAATTGTTTTGTCTTTGTCTAAAGGATGCCATAATGGAGAGGGAGATGAGGAGGCCTCCAGGAAGGAAGGTTCTCTCTTCCCACTTTGTTACGGAGGAGAGAGAGAGAGAGCCAAGGGTTCAGAGTCTCCCTGATTTGATCCCATTATTAGCTGGCAGTGAAAGGGTATGTCCTTGAAAAGAAGCAAACAGCCCACCTTATTGGAACAAAAGACAAACGAGAATAAATCGCAACCCCTTTTAAAAGAGGAAAAATAATTATGAAAATTGAAGGCTCAGAAACGTGATTAGACACCACCGAGAAAACAACAAAGGCAGAATATAACAGAGTCGGTGGCAGTTTTAGTGCTGGAGACGCAGCATGGTTTCCTTGATGTGATTTTGGAAGGAAGTAAACAGGCTGTGATATGCTGGAGTCTCTCAGGTTGGCAATTAAGGACAGAAGAACAGGCCTCCTGGATCAGGCCTGGATCAGGCCAAGGGCCCACTTAGCTCAGCATCCTGTCTTCAGCAAGCAGATGCCTCTGTTGGAATATTCCATTCCACCTTAAGAACAGACGTGAGAGCCAGTGTGGTGTAGTGGTTAAGAGTGGTAGTCTCGTAATCTGGGGAACCGGGTTCGCTTCCCCGCTCCTCCACATGCAGCTGCTGGGTGACCTTGGGCCAGTCACACTTCTTTGAAGTCTTTCAGTCCCACTCACCTCACAGAGTGTTTGTTGTGAGGGAGGAAGGGAAAGGAGAATGTCAGCCGCTTTGAGACTCCTTAAAGGGAGTGAAAGGCGGGGTATCAAATCCAAAAACTCTTATTCTTGTTGCATGTCACATGTCTGTTTACACTCCAGCACAGCTTGCTGGGAACTTCCGTTTGTGTATAGCTTTTGCTTTAGCTGTCTTGCTTTGGACATGGAGGAGATCAGACATGTTTCCTTTTGTCCTGGTGTATACTGAATAAACTGCTTGTGAATTTGCTCACGCAGCCTCTCCAGCCACTTCTGTTGCGTAGCGTTTACTCTGCTGAGTAGCGTGCCCCAGCTTCTGAAGCTCAGGTTGCAGATGCTGCGCCAAGGACTGGTGGGCCCCGCACACCGGCCAGTGGGCTGGAGCCAGCTGGGGGCCTGCCAGTTGCCCCCGTTTCCTTGGTTGCATGCCAACAGCCTCAATAGGAAGCCCACAAGCAAGACCTGAGCAACAGCAGCAACTAGTATTGAGAGGCATGGTGCTCTACCAGTGGAGGTAGAACATAGTCATCATGGATAAAAGGCAGTGATAGTCTTATCCTCCATGAATTTGCCTGATCCTCTATTAAAGCCATCTGAGCTGGTGTGTCCCCACTGCGTACTGCAGGAACAGGTTCCACAGCTTACCATATTTTTCGCTCTATAGGACGCACTCAAACATAGGACGCACCTAGTTTTAGAGGGGGAGAACAAGAAAAAAAATCTCTTCCTCTCTGCGCAGCGCCCCTTCAGCAAAGCGGTAGGGGAAACGGAGCCCCTTCCATTTCTCCTCCCACTTCGCTGAAGGGGCGCTGCACAGAGAGGGAAAGCTGTGCAGTGCCTCTCCAGCAAATTGAAGCCAGGAGAGCAAGAGGGATCAGTGCACACCAATCCCTTTTGCTCTCCTGACTTCAGCGAAAGCAATGCGAAGCCTCTGGAGCACAGCGGGAGCACTCCCACTGCGCTTTGGAGGCTTCGCATTGCTTTTGCTGAAGCAATGGAGCCTGCATTCGCTCCATAAGACGCACACACATTTCCCCTTAATTTTTGGAGGGGAAAAAGTGCGTCTTATAGAGCGAAAAATACGATAACTCTGCAATGTGTGAATAAGTGCTTTCTTTTGTCTGCTTCATTGGATGTCCATGCTTTCTAGCATTATAAGCAAGGGAGGAAAACTTGCCAACCTGTTGCCTGTGCGTGTTGTGACACCCTCGAAGGCCTTCTTTGGTGCCCCCAGCATGAAGCACAATCCCAAGATTGCCAGCTGTTTTATTTTAATGCAAGTTTCTAGCATTTTTAGAAGCTGAGATGTAAGGTTTCATTCAATTCTGCTTGGGGCTCTCCAGTGTACCACCTGAGTCCATTTGTATGCTGGCTACAGGATGCTTTCTACATCCTCTTTCTCTGCCATGAGACCTAAACTCAAGTATATATTTAAGTCTTTTGTCTCTTTGAAAGAAACCCATTTGGGATGCTGTGAGAGCTGCATCGAACTTGGAAGACACTACGTGATGTCAAGAAAATATGTAGTCACGAAAATATCAAGCGTAGTCAAGAAAATACCTGCTGCTCCTTGTTGTTTTATGCTCTAATGCTCACCACCGTCTCAAAGGGCTTGGCCACTTCTGCTTGGATGGGAACAACTTCTAGTTGTGGGGATAACTTGCAGAAGAGTTCCAAAAGTGTGCACAGCTGAATAGCTGATATACATAAACGTGTTTTATAATGTTATTATGTTCTTCTTATTGGTTGTAAGTCACTTCAAGGGCTTTTGTGACAGAGAATATAGCATGTAGATCTAAACTGAAACAAACAAGGGAACAAATACAGTAACATTTCAGCCTGTTTATTGGGTTTGCTGGGAAAGGAGGATAAAAGCTGTGGCCACAATACATCTGCAGGCTTTGAGAAATGATGAGTTCACTGGGTCATGCATTGCCAGGGAAGCCCTACGCTGAGTTCTGATGAGTAGCAGCCCCAAGTATTAACCACAAGACCATCTTTCCTCGCCTCGAAAGTATCTTCCAAGTCTTCCAATGTATGAGATAAGCTCCCAATATGCAACGTGTAGTTTATATTTTCATTGCTCTTTTGCTCAGGGAACTTAGTAGTTAAACCAACATTCTCTCATATCGATTCATCCAGGCTTTGCAATAGTGCAGCAAATTCCCATTGTTGCAGAGTGTGATTTCACAATAAGCAGTGCTTCCATTTTAACTATTGCTGTGCTGAATTTTTGTGAGATTCAGCTTTCAGTGCAAAAAAAGAGACAGGGATAGGGGGAAAGACTGTGATATTCCATCTTCTTTTTGCTCATTTGCCTTGTCCCTATTCACCTCTAGCAATGCATTGCTGCAGCAGAATAGGAACAACGATGCACATTTGAATGCTCATCTGATGACATGAAATGAAATAAAAATGGATGACTTCTGAATTCAGATGTGTTTCTTTTAATGAGATGGGCACTCAAATGCAAAAGGGGATTCTGTATTCTTCCCCAGTTACTCTACAATGCATGCATGGACTAGGGCAAAGAAGCATGGGCATGACAGTCACCTGATACCCAACAACTCACAAATGGTTTTGCAATGTCACCACAATGGCTGTGTTCTACCCCGACTGCCATGCCTCTGGACACCAGTAGCTCACAATCACAGGGAGGCAGAGTGCTCTTGTGTTTATCCCCAGTTTGCAGGCTTCCCACATGCATCTGGTCAGCCTCTGTGAGAACAGAATACTGGACTAGAAGGGACATTGGCTTGATCCAGCAGGTTCATCTTATGGTCTTAGGCTTTCATGAGTGTGAGAAGATGGCCCAGGAAATTGTTATGAAATGGTTCCATGCCTTTCTGCATTTCGGCCGAGCACCAATTTTAACAACAAAGCAAATAAGAACTTCTCAGAATCTGAAAGGATGTCACACAGAAGAAGGAAAGATTTATATGCCACTGCACCAGAGGGCAGGATTAGACCTAATGGGCTTACGTTACAGGACAGAAGGTTTTGGTTCAAGTTTCTATCATGTCACCTCTTACTTGAATTTCCTTGAAACTAAAAAGTCCCAAATGCTGCAACCTTTCTTCATAAGGAGTTATTCCATTCTCTAGATTATTTTGGTTTCCCTTTTCTGAACCCACCCTCTTCCTGGGGATCGCCATAGTAGATCTGTACTTTCTCTGACAGATCCAATAGATATGCAACTTTCTTTCACAATATTATTTCTGAAAACATTCCCAAAACATGTTCGTAGCACCATTGAAGAGGCTAAATTATGTTAATATAACATTCATATTACTTCAGAGTTGAATCCAAAACACAAACAAAGGGTGCAGAAGGTGTTGCATGCAGTATGACAAGTTGTAGGAGAATGTCCAGAGTTAGGAGTTGCAGAACCAGATCAATGGTCAATTTTGATCAGTCCTGCACAGTTCATTCGGCGATTGCTAGGCTGGAAAAGTTGCTTCCATTCAAAACAGCCACATCTTTCCCTCTCTTCTTGACTGGTGAATCCTTTCACCCTGTGAAAATAGAAGCTGATACCTGATAGGGATCTCTGTGTGAAATTAAATTCATTAGAAAACCATCATGTTAATTGGAGTGTTTTGAGTTGTTTGACGGTACACGGTGGTAAATACAGAGCAATTGTAATTGAACACTAAGGAAGTGTTAGAAAGAGTCCCCAGAGCTCATTCCTAAAAGATGAACGATCATGTTAGAACCAAAGTGGAACAGAATCTGTTTGCCCTTCAGGAATCCTTCTGAGGTTTGTCCCTAAATGGATATACAATACAGTGGTACCTCGGGTTAAGAACTTAATTCATTCTGGAGGTCCATTCTTAACCTGAAACTGTTCTTAACCTGAGGTACCACTTTAGCTAATGGGGCCTCCTGCTGCTGCCGTGCCGCCACCACACGATTTCTGTTCTCATCCTGAAGCAAAGTTCTTAACCCGAGGTACTATTTCTTGGTTAGTGGAGTCTGTAACCTGAAGCATCTCTAACCTGAAGCGTCTGTAACCCGAGGTACCATTGTATTCAAATGAAGAAGCTTTCTATCCTACATCTCCCAAACTATTCCAGTTTTATTGTTGCTTTATGTCGGCTTAACAACTCTGTTTTCAGATGACTTTACAAGTGAACATAAGAAGAGACCTGCGGGATTAGGCTGATAACCCGTCTAGTTCAGCATCCTGTTCTCACAGTGGTTGACCAAATGTCCATAGGAAGACCGCAGGTAGAACACTTGTGCAACTATTCTCTCCATGTTCCCAAATCTGATTTTCAGCAAACAATTTCATAGACACATTACCTCTGAGAACAAAGGTAGATGTCAGGGACCGTGCTGATTTGGAACAGTGGTTTGCAGAGGGGCATAGTTCAAAAAGCAGAAGCTGGGAAATACTGGATGGGGAACAGCTAGAAGAAGAAGAAACATAGGGAGAGAGAAGGTTAACACGTTGGGCAGCGTTCCTCCACCACCCTCCCCAAAGTTGAGAAGAGCTCAGAAAGTCGCAGAACAGAAAGCGCAGAGGGTACAAGCTCAGATTACAAGACGTAGGAGTGACGAAGATTAATAGGGACGGAGGAGGGAGTGAGCCTTAATTGGGAGCACCGCCATTTGTTTTGTCTCTCATTGTGATTATTAAAGGATCTAACTGGTAAGACGTTCCTCTTATTTGATCTTATTTACTGCCATGGGGGAGGACGCCAATTCCCCGAAGCCTGACAGTAGAGCTTATCTATCATGACTAGTAGTCATGGATAGCTTCATCCCCCATGAAATTACTCAATTCTGGTTATAGCCTGGTTAGAGTGTTGGACAAGGGTTCAAAGTTCCACTTAGAAATGAAGATCACTGGGTGACTTTGGGCCAGTCACTCACTCTAGGCCTAACCCACCTCACAGGGTTCTTGTGAGGATGAAATGGGGAGAATTATATATGTCATCTTGAGCTCCTTGGGTGGGATATGAATGGAATTGGGGGGGGGGTCAATATCCACCACTGCATCTTCTCATCTCAATGGAGAAAAAGAAAATGGAAGCCTGGGTTTTGAATTGACACTGAATTTTCGTAAAATGTGATGCACATTTGGAGGTTTCTGCTTAGACATAACTTCTGAGGGATTTCAAAAGGAGCCAAATAGAGAAAAAAAACAACATGTTTGTAATGGAAGAAAAAATGTGGGCATCAAGGAGAGTGACCAAGACAATCAAGAATACAAGAATGTGTATAGATTTTCATGCAAACTTTAAGAAAGAGAATGGAGCACACAAGCAGATTGGGCAAACTGAAGGAGAGGCTGGGGGGAAATGAGAAACTTAAGAGAAATGAAAATTGACAGATTCGTCCATTGATCATTGTCTGTGAGGCAGAAGCTCCTTGCTCTGTGATAACAGAGGCAGTCATCCCTGATTCCTTAACCGAGGAAATAGTGGTGCAAATAGCAACACTCCTGTCAGTGTACCATGTAATCCCAAAAGCTGTTCTAGCTAATGACTAATGGTAGTTTATGATACCAGTTATGGACCAATTACTGCCACTCATTTTGCACTGAGCAGATTATCAGCTCTTGCTCTTAGAATAACAAAAACCTCATTTCGGGGGGAACAGGGGAGGTGCAGAAACGTTATCTCCTACTTGGTGTTTACTCAGCGATAGCATTGTGTCAAGCGCCTGATCCTGCCTGCATCTGCTGTTACAGCTGGCCTCTCCATCCCACCAGTCTTTATTTAGCTGGATATTACGGCAGTAACATTTCATTACAGTTGTGTTCAGAAGAAGTCATAGCCCATTGGTTTTATTGAAGCTTACTTCTCATTTACTTCCATTTCAGCCGAAAGGACAGCTGCTTCACGATGTACTTGGTGCAACACCTAAAGGCCTCTGAGTGTTAATTAAGTTGGGAGGAAGTGTTTTTAACAAGCACCTTTTTATTTTTAGTTTATTTTTTAGTGTAAATGCCAAGATGTTCAATCATGTTCAGTGTTGGC